GACAAGTGGCGCCCTATCCCGCACGCACACTCAGGGGATCGAATCACTTATCGATATCCGGCTAGGCCAATTCGGGAAGAGGTGGCATCCCCAAAATGGGATTAATTAATGCCAAAAACATTTATCCTTTTGAACTTTTATTATCACTTTTTTATTTATGATCCCCTATATGTTCATATTATTTACTATTTACTTGGCACGCTGTAAAAGAAACATCACAAACAAGCAAACAATCATGGAACAAACAGGACAAAAAACTGTCTACAAGTTAAAACAACTAACAAAAGGGAATCCGAAACGCTGGAAGAGGCAATTATATCCGGAGGATTCCGACGGATGTTGAGCGTTCCTTAGGTTGCGCCGTGGGGTTGACTTGTTTTTGAAATTGAAAGTGTAGTATTTAATACCCGAATAGGTCATTTTTTTCTCGTATCATTAGGGAAGCCCACATCAATCCTAACAGAGATGGCGAATCTGATTAGCCTGAACAAACCTTTGGAATTTTGGTATACTCTGAAAATAAGCTTAATCATCCCCATGATTTCAAGTTGGTGCCATCTTCATGGCGTAACGTCAATTTCACTCGGATCGACATCAATTTGATCACATTATGCACCTGTATGTATGTACATTGCCTGGGATCGAATCCCGAAGTGACACCCTCTGAATTAACAGCGTCTTCCAACCCTCTGGGGTCACTTGGTTAGTGCCAGACACTTTTGCGAGGATAAAAGCACTCATTTTTACATCGGATAGCCTGCATAGGCCATATATGCATTCAAACGCAACTATGACGCTGAATGGGGTCGAATGTCAGGGCGCATCCAAAAAGCGGCAGATGTGGCCAAAAAATTAAAGGCTACTTGCTAAGCCTAAGAAGGTCATAACTATGAAGTATGTAGACCTCAGTATGGGGTTTCAATCCAATTTCTGGACGAGTTTTGCACAAGCGGCCTGCTCACTGTTGTGATGGGTCTCCGTGGCAACGCGACTGAACAGCAATTCATTTCAAGCGCTCTTAGCAGTAATCCCCCTGTGTGCAATGGCCGCCGCTTCTGCAACGGAGGACGATCTCTACAGCGGTTTTGATGACTACGATCACGCATATGATACTCAGGTAAGCAGCTGAGCAGTAAATTAGTAGTCACTAAACGAAGTACTCCTTTAAGAATATCGTTCATGATCGTTCCTTTCAACAAGCCGTAGCTAGATCCAGTCATGGTCGTCGACCAGTAAGTTACTCTTTACTACGATTTTTTGGGTATCTGATAAAAAATGTTAAAAATAGGTGTTACAGTTGATGATTGGTCAAGGGAATTCGGAGTTTCTTCTAAAGAATCTCTCCTCTCTTTTGCTCTCTGTTTGGCTGGTGTCTAAGCCGTACGCTGCTGACTGTCTAGTATTCGATAAAAGGAAAGACAATAGATACTCAGATAATAGATGATAACGAAAAGTAAATGGTTATAATAATGATAATGGATAGTAAAAGGCAAATGGAAAAGGGAAACAATAGATTAAAAAGAAATGACCCCAGAAATACCTTTTCCATCTTTGAACTCCGGCCTTTGGCCTTGAATCCATACCGTCCAACCAGAAGTGAAATTTTGACCACTGTGTCCATCTAAGGAACAGGTACCGACCTATTCCTACAAAAGGAAAGTTTTCCGCTACCAGAAAATGTTTTGCTACAAAAAATTACGGTACCAGGCCAGCTATGGGAAACTATAGGTGTCATCGAAAAGTCGATGTATTTGTAAATGTATCATAGTGCTCTCTATCTCTCAGGATCCTAAGCTTGTGAGAATTGAACCAGAACATCGAAAAACCCGACGAGGCTCTTTACAGACTACATCGATGGCAGGGCGAGCTCCGTCTGCTTACGGTATGGCCCCACGTTCCAGCTATGGAGTAGTTTCGTCCTATGGCCTTCAAAGTCGAACGGGAAGAACCTCGTTCGCGACCAGAAACGAGCCGGCCAGACCGATGACAGCCGTCAGAGCAGCCGGATATACCTCGTTTGCCAATAAAGGTCCGTTTTGCGAACGAGTCTGCCTAGCTAGTAAGGCATTTGTTCAGAGCCGATGTAAGCTCTGCGGTGTCACAAATTCATTTTGGTCAGAAGGCTTTTGGAAAAGGATATTCTACTCGTAGAATCTGATGTGCCATATACATTGACTTTACAAAGACTCATGAGATACTTTCACAAAACTACTATTATCTATTACCATGCGATAGAGAGAAAATCCTAGGTAATTTCAGTTCAAGCTGCCGAATCAGCTGCAGTGGCAGATTCCAAGAGTACAGAATCGTGAGTGTTCCAATAGCCACATCGTTCCTTAACTGAACAATCCGAATGTACAAAGCTGTGAGGATAATTCAGGATCGAACAAAAGTGCAAGGAAATGGAGCAGCGGGTGATGGATATGTTGAAGGAGAGCGTATTCGCGGCCGAAAAACGGAATCTCAAAGAGGTTCCATCCAATTTCAATAAGTTTTAATGAAAGTCAGATTGAGAAATTCAAAAAAGCATGGCAGAGATTAGGGAAGAAGGTTCTTCAATTAAGTGGAAATCCAAAAAGAATCGGTGAGCAGCCAAAAAAAAATTCCAGTTAAGGCTCTGGATAAAGCTAAGGAGGCCGGTCGACGTGAAAGGGCTGTGGTCAAGTACAGAGAGCAACAGGATGTCGTCGAATCAATGAATATCGATTTAACGTTTACCGTATTATTCAACTTGGCTCAGCAGGTTACCCTCCGCTGATAATCGATAACTTTTAACAATAATTCAAATATTTTTTAGTATATGGCAAATGATATGGCGAACGAGGCACTTAACACATATCAGATTATCGTGAAGAATAAAATGTTCCCAAATTCTGGTCGCCTGAAGGTAAGACATTCGAACTTTCCCTCAAATTCCATAACGACAAAGATGATATTTTTATTCGGAAGGGCTGGTTTCAAGGAAGGTTCACGGATTGCGCCATGCCCATGTCTTATTCTCAGGTTTGCTAGGCAGAGTGTGTTCATGGAGGTTAATGCTCTTCTAAGGCATTGAATACTTGAGTATTACTTCCCTTGTTATACTGGTTGGTACTGGTTTATTGATTGGTTCTAAAAATGGGAATCCATGAAGTGCAGAAGCGTTATGAAAGAAAAAAGCATAAATTTGTATATACAGCAGTTTTTTTTTCCAAAATTGATCTTTAAACCTAATGAACAATTAAATGATTATGCCCTTATCCATGCATTTCTCACGAACTAGATTTGCAAGTAAGTAAACTGGTAAAATGAACCTCTAGCTCCTGCTTGAAAGCACCAGGTGTTTACTTCATTATTCATTCTGTTCATTTGTTTACTTATCATTTCACATACTTATACAGTCGCTTCAAAGCTCTCACTCAATGTACAGTAAGGAGCAGTAATTGGAATATGCAACTTTTAGGCTAAAATTGGATGGAATCAAGTCAGTTGCGGCAGTTCCCCAAACCTAGAATAGTTATAGGAGAGTTAAAGAAGTAAGGGATCGTACTGACCATGAGAACTGATACGAATGTTTTAGGTCAACATTGGCAATATCTATTTCAAGAAAAAAGATTACAATAAAGCCATAAAGTACTACCGTATGGCTCTTGATCAAGTGCCAAGTATTCAGAAGGAGACCAGGTAGTGAAACTATCCTATCGGTTACCTATTTCGCTGATGACTGCCGTAAATTATTCCTTTTAGAATCAAAATTCTCAACAATATCGGTGTTGCATTCATCAAGATGGGAAAATACGACGAGGCAATGTCTACATTCGAGCACTGTGTTGACGAAAGGGCCGACTTCAAGACAGCACTGAATATGGGTAATTCCAAGGGTTCCACTCATGGCGTCACTTGAAAAATGAACCTTCATGCTCTCTCTGGATGTTACGAATCTCAATGTCTTCAAGACAATCTTCAACTAGCCCTTTCAGTGTTGACCGCGTACTGTCTTGAAGATGCAGATCGGATGCGTGACGGTTTTCAGAAACTACTCGATGTACCACTCGATGATGATGAGGAGAACAAGCCTAATGTAAGAGTTTCCGACATCTGGATCGAATCTTGCTCGTGCTTACTAAACTCTCCAACCCCTTCTTCTGAAAGCTGTGTCAGCAGCTCCAGTTCCTTCATCTTTCATTGCAGAGGTGTATCGATCTACACAGGGGAACTCTCCTTCGCGGCTTTCTCTAGAATATCATTTGAACGATATGAGATCGCCGTCCTTCAAAAGGTAGTGTTGAAAGTAACTACAGTAGTAGTAACTTTAGGATAAGGACGACGTACTGATGACACAAGTGCTCAACAATGACAGCTTACGTCAGTTTGCCAGACGTCAACGAGCTGATGCTGAACGAGCGATTCTGACTGCAGCAAAGACGATCAGCCCAGCGATCGCTTCCGAGTGAGTTTGTTGAAAAATTCAGAGCAGTGCACTGATTCAGCTTTTGACTACCGTTTTCTCAGTCCCCTTGAGAATAGACCTGAAAATTTTAACGAAAAATGGCCATGTGAATCGTGCACCTAGTATGAATCCAATAAGAGCTCGAGTAAAGAGCATGAGTTATAGACAGTCAAGGTGCTATAATTTACCGTATTCAGCTTTGCCTCCGGCTATGAATGGTGCGTGGAGACGATCAAGCAGTCAGTTCATGCCTCTTTGGCCACAGAATTGGAGATGAGCAAAGCTGGAGAGCTGTTGAGAAGAGGAGACCTCGATGGAGCTGCTGAGGTTCGTGTCGAAGTTCCCTACCTCTTACTACTTTGCTGGATGCCTCTGCCTCAACCTATAACCTCCAAAGTTTAGGTTCTAAAAGTGTTCCACTCCCAAGAGTCGAAAATTGCCAGTGCAGCCGCTAATAATCTGGGCATGCTGAAGCTTCTGGTGAGTCTATTATAGAGCTGGGATTCCAAAGCAATGAATCTTTCAGCTTTCTCCTGGTTGAGCCATACGTTCGATTTCTAGTCCAATCTACAGCGACCAGAGGGGTAAGGCATTATGGCCGTCCTTTCGTTGTGCGCGACTACTCCTACCTAGTTGTCTTGCCAAGGAAGGACTTCTAGCTAGTCTCTGCATGGCGCGGTAAGACATCCGAGCAGAGCCTTCCCCATCAATTGAGAGCAGCATGTTTGCAAATTGGGTCACAAAGGTAGCTCTCTAGTTTCAAGCCGTAACAGTTCATTGGCATCAGGGGGTATGCCTAATCCAATTATCAGCCCTCTGACCAAATGGATGGCGGCAGCGCCAATTGTCACCCAATGCAAGATTAATGAAGAACTTTTGTTGACGATTTTATGAGTTTCTTGGAAACAATGGTACATTTTTATGACTGACCTACCCTTATGACTGTTTTCTATTCCAGCAAGGAGGTGACAAACTGCAAGAAGCCGAGCAATATGTAGAGCAATCGCTGGCTATGGACCACTACAACGCTAATGCTTTAGTCAATGCCGGTCCTCCTTTAACCATCATTTTTTTTGCTCTCACATTTTCCTCCATAATTCAAAAGGTATTTTTGTTACAGGTAATATTGCCTACCTACGGGGAGATTACGATAAAGCCTATGCCAACTACAGAGAGGCTTTGAATAACGATGCGGGTTGTGTTCAGGTAAGTATAGAGCATATATAAACTTTGTGGAATTTTCAAGTATTCTCAATACACCGAGTACAACTGAGTCAAAAATTAAATTTAATTAGTTGAATCGTATTGGGCGGGGTGGTATAGTGGCAAGGGGCGCACTATCTCAAACGCCTGGTCTCGCGGGTTCGAATCCTGGCTCGATATCCGCCCAGGCCAGCCAAGTCTCCCATTCTTCCGGGGCTGGTTAATTGGCACTAGGCTCGTCTAAAAGCACTGACTTGTACATCGGCTGGCCAACGCAAGT